AATTGTATTATTTTGTATTGTATAGTGGGGGAAAAAATTTGTCTTCGATCTTCCAGATATACAAATAATTTAAAAATTTAATTAATTTTAAGATGCAAAAACTTTGAAATTTGTATTTCTTTTTTTTTTTGTCCTTTCATTTATTTTAATAGAATTTATTTATATTTCTCATCCTTGAAGATAAACAGATTGAATTTAAAAATGACACAGAAAAATTCGTGTATTGATAAAGTAACAATAAAGTAAAGAAGTAAAAAAAAAAAAAGAAAATATGTGACTACGATAAAAATTAAAACTATACTTAAAATTTAAGAAGGATATTCTATTCATTTGGTTACAGAAAGAAAAGAGAAATGGAATATCTAAAGTATTTATATCACTAATTGTAATGCAATAGTATGTTTTATTTCAATATTTGAAACATTACAAATCAGAAAATTAAGAATTTTTGCAAAATGATAATTCTCTATTTCCAATTTAAAATCCAGCATTTTTTCAAAATACTTTTACACAGAAAGAAACGAAAATTATATTGCTAGAATTTATAAAATTAAAATAATTTTTATATTTGTTGATCATATCCGGATTTTAAATAAAGTTTGAACATATAAAAGATAAAGATACTTCTGTTTTTTGCTGTTAGAAGATACGTTTCCATCCAACGTTTCTATTCTATTGTACGGTGATAGGGATCGATTGGAGCGTAGATGTGAAATCGATTCAGCCAATTAAACGGTTCGACGCTTTTAATTTGATTAATTTGCATCCCCCATTTTTTAATTTAGACGCTACGTAAGTTTGATTGAAACTTTATTCCGCAGTATTCCACGATTTCATTCTTCTTTACAGACTGTTATACGTCTATTTCGTGTAGTGGAAACTAATTTGATCCGAAAAAAAAAAAATTAAAGTATGGATTCGAGTGGGATGAAAAATGGCGGAATAACAGCTGTTAATGAAGTCACGCGCAGATCTTGAAAGGGTAATCACAATTTCAACAGAGGAGAATTTGTGTAAATTATGCAGTCGTTGTAAATTTTTATCCATCTGAACATGCATTGTTCTTCCATGGAAGAACACTTTGTAACTAGAAGTCGAAATGAACAGTCTTTTTTTAAAAAAAATTCTGTTCAAACTTATAGAATAATAGGATAGAAAAGAAATAAATAAATAATAAAATTCGAGTTATTGTTTTTAAGAGTTAAAAAAAATTAAGATTTAACCACATGCAGTGACGAAATCGTACAATCGATGAATTTTCAAATTTTTAAATGGAAAATTTTTAAAAATTTTTGTCACGTAAAATAACCTCTTTTCGATAATTCGCATTTAACCAGGAATTTTATTTATACTCTAAAAATTTTCTTAGTTTTAATTAGATTATACTCTTTCTATTCCATTCATTATTAATTTCGTGTGAAATCATCTCCTGCTCAATTATTCATTGCAAGACATCCTCTATATTTTAAGGGGATATCTTATGAAACGTTTATGAAAAGAAATATTATCGTTAAGAATTTTTTTAAAATATTAATTCTCACAACAGACAGATCTTAGAATCTGTATAACAAAAATTTAAATGGAAACAAGTTATTTGTAAATAAAGCTATCGATTACAATAAATCTATTATCATTAATACATATAAAAGATATAGAAAAAAAGAACTTAACAATAAAGAGCTAACCAAGAGCATCTATTCCTGTAATAGAAAAATTTTCGTTTCCATATCTTTATACAAGTTCCTAAAATTTTTCCTAAACTTTCATTTTCCAATAAAATTTCTTTTCACCTATTGGAATTTTTCAACGCGATAATCCTCTTTAAAAAAAGAAAGAAAGATCCATAAACAGAAGAATCTGTGAGAAAAGAACTTTCATGAAAGCTGTCCGTAAGAACGCGTTAATGGCGGAATGCATTTGTTTCGGCCGTCTCTATCATTTGCGGCCGAGGGAAAAGTGAAAATGTTGCATCACGCAAATCGAAGCGGAATTGCACGCTGCGGAAAATTGCAGTGTCGGGAAGCTCTCGGGTAATCGGCGTAGAAAATGACGATTGTAACGATCACGGGTGAAAGGAAATCGGGCGCAGGGTTGGACAAAGGTATAATTAAGAAACGTGCATATCACGTAGAAAGGAAATACACGCACGCTTACTTTCAGAACAGGGAAGTAAGCGTTCTAACAAGATTACTTATTACTCCACGTTTTGAATACGTATAAAATGAATTTTAAATCTGTCCACGAATATATCTCGCGCCGTGAATAATCTTCCCCGGCATTAAGCTGCCCTCCAATTGCGCATGCATTAGGCGAAATTTTAGAACGCGTTGAAAAGAGTAAAAAGTAAAACGATTTTTTACTCTTCTTTATTTAAGGGGGAAAAATTAGAAAAATTTGAAAAAATGTGCTTTAATGTATGATTTAATTATTAAATTTATGAGAAAGTCTTTACTTTTGTTTAATTGTTCTTAACTTGGAGGAGAATATTTCTAATTATGAGTATATATATATATATAATTTGGAATAAATTAAAGAAGATTAGAATTTTGCAAAAGTTTTTAACTTGGTTATTTATATGGGAGTATTTAATTTGAAATACCATTTGATTTATATAATACTGTTGCTATAAATATAAATACTGTGAAAATTTCACTTTTCTCGATAACCAAGCAATATAACAGCATCGTTAAATTTTACGTAATTGTAATTTCTTATTGCAAATATTGATAATAACTCTTATGTGCAAAATTTTAAATAAATCGAACAAAAAAATAAGGAATTGAAAATTATTGTTGCACCTCAAAAAATTAATTTTTTTTATTATTTATATCTGGTAGAGAAGTTTTCTCTATTATTTGAAAATAATTTGTATAATTTTGGTTTTTTTTTAAGGATAGAAAAATAAATTTTTGAATTTTTTATTCTTAAAATGATTTTAATAAATTTTTTCTTTAAAATAATATTTAGTGTGTTTCAAATATCTATTTTCATACCAATTCATATAAATATTACTTTGAAACAAGTATTTTGTCAAAATATTTGAAATAAGCTTATTAATTTTCAACATACTAGTTACAAATTAAAGGCAATTAATATAAATATAAAATATAAAATAGAGATATACAAAAAAGTTATCATAATTTTTAAATATAAATTTCTCAAAATAATTTCCATGCAACTTATGTTACTATGACTCCTCTACCCTCCTTTATTACGTAACGTAATATTAATAAAAAAAAAATTATTGCAAGAAGCTCAATCTTATACACTAATGCGACCAATAAACTAAAGCATAAGATTTTTCATTTTTATATTGAAATTATAATATATAAATATTTCAATAATATTCGATAATAAATAATAAATAATATTTGTTCGTGATTAAGCAGCATTAAGCAAAGAAAATAATATCTTTAAATAATATTTCAAGATATTAATTCAAATATGAAATATAATATTTTAGAATATTGTAATACTGTAATAATGAAATATAATATTAATAATAATAATAATCCTGTTAGTTTACAGAATGATAAACAGTATTTGATTTAAACTTTGCGTGAAATAATATTAAACGCTCATGAGAATATTTCAATATTTTGCCTCAAATTATTTCAAATTTTCCCCAGCCTCGCGAATATCGATCGAATTCTCGGCACAAGTTTCGCGAGAGATCGAAGAAAATCGTATCATCCGGGTATCGGTTCGCACGATGCTTAAGAGCGATAGATGAATGAGCCGATTCGTTCTCGAGAAAACAGGACGTCGCGACTAGTTTGAAACTACGTTAAACACGAGAGTCGAATCAAACGAGAGCTCGACTGCAACTTCTTCCCCCGGAGATTTCCTTCGGTGTTGGAATTCCATTACGCGAAACTCGGTCTGGAACGACGTGCTATCTTACGAAAATGTAATTACTGGTGGAAAACGAGTTCAAACTCGAGGACAAAGCTATGAGATCTTTTTTTTTTCTTTTCTTTTCTTTTCTTTTCACCATTAAATGATCACAGGAAGATTTTCAACTTGATCGTTTCTATCAACGAGACAATCTATGGAAAGAAGATATTGACTGAGATAGTTTTCGATCGGCAGATAGGATCGAAATCAGAAACGTTGATCAGATTTTTTTTTACGAATAGGGAAGCGATAAATTGACATCTAATTTGAAAGAATTAAATTTGATTTCGTAGATTCGAGTAAGTATTTAGGATAGAAATTCTTCAATTATTTAAAATTAATTTTTTTGGTTACTTTTTATATTTCTAATGTAACTATATTGTAAAATATCTTTAATCAATTACATATGGAAAAAGTAAAATGAAATTATAGAATTTTTGTTGCGTTCATTTCAATTTCACATAATTTTCTCAAATTTAAATACAAAAAATGAAATATACTTTTTCGACTCTTACAATTTAATCTATGTATTTATAAGAGTCTCGATTCATTGTTTAAGTACAAATATTTGATTGTCGAAATTAAATTATAGTCATTCTACACCGTTCGAAATCAATTTAAATTACGGACAAAGAGTGTTGGCATTTCTTTCAACTTTTTTTGTCATTAATAAAAATTTAAAAAACACATTTTGTAGATTTTGTATCAGATATATAGATATGCTAATCAAAATGTAGTTACGAACAATCAAAGATACTTTCAATCTTCAGAATGTATTTTTCAAATTTTCATTGCTCGAACAAAAAAATAAAAAGCCAATTTTCATTACAATTTTCTTTTTGTACGTACCTGATAACTTCCTAAAAAAAAAAACTAATTAAGTTCAATTTTAAAAAGAATCATTTTCAAAATCAAACTTACTACATTTCAACAAATGAATCATCATTTCTCAATAACATTCGAATCTTACGAAATAGATCTTCTCTGTTTGACTTGAAAACGTGATCACCATGGTGATCACCATGGACACTTTCACGTGGATGGCGTAAAACCCGGAAAGATTCTAATTCACATCGAAGGAATAGTGGTCGTAAAGGACTTACTCTTATGTCTGGAGAACCTCCTCAGTTTCTTGAAGAACGGCATACTCGTCGTCGTCTGGTCGTCGATCCCCCGCACTCGAATCGATCGCCGTTAACTGCGCCCAATGTCGAGAAGCTCGTTACGATCGCCGATCACGGAGCCTCGATCGAAGACCCCGTCGGAGAAAAACCGCCCTCGTGCGTGAACGAACGAGCTTGAAGTGCCGCCTCCTGGTTTACATCGGGATACGACGAGCCGTCCGTTGAATTCTGTCTGCCTCTTACACCATCTCAACCTCGGCCGCTTCTCTCTTCCCTCGCCAGACTTGTACGCGTTTCCACTTATCCCCACTGTCGAGTTTTATAAGAGAGGAAGCCGGGCACGAGCCTCGCAGTCCCCGCGTGCTCTTGAATCGACCACTCGACGCTCTTCACCCGATCGCCCCAGTGACAAATCGAGTCTCGGCCTTGCCCCATCCTTGCTTAAATTTTTCCAATCGAAAGAAATTATTGAAATCGTCTCGTAAATAATCGTTTTGGAAATCTAGTTGAAGAGAATTTGGATGTACGCGAAATGAAAAAGTTGTATCGAGTTATTCTATCGAGCAAATAATAATATTAATTGGAAGTCCAGTCTCGGTTGCAGAGAATTGTTTATTATTTAATTATTGTAAAATTTATTTGTGTGAAGAATGAAGCTATAAATGTAGTGACAGGAAAGAACAATAATTTATTCTCCTTAATTGAAATATTTTATTTAGTATTTTTTTTATAAGCATCAAGATAAGATATAATTATATCTCAAAATTCTTTTTGTTATAAACATATATATATATTATACCATATTACAACTACAAATTTGAAAGAGTTTTTTACATTTCCCTATTCTTTCCTATCTTTCTATTTTTGTAAATGTTTTAGATTGGACAAAAATTATTAAATTGTCCTATTTATTAAATATAGTTTTGGAAATATAGTTTCAGTTCAGCAAAGAATCTTTTATTTTTTATAATATATACTTGTATTATATAAAACGTGTATGTATATATAAAATTAAATTACTAAATTTCAATTTATAATGGAACAGATAACATGTAATTCTGATAAACGAATGATAAATATAAATTGTAAAAATTTCCTTTTCTATTATAACAATAGTTAATTATATTCGTAAATGCTATGATAGAAAAGAATAAATAATTTATCATTATGTTCCTTTCTGTAGTTAAAATATTCTATTTGGCACTTTTACATTTTTTAGGATATGCTAACATTTGAAATAATACACATTTTGTATCTTTTAATTTTCATAATCACGAGGGTCGTAATCTCTAAATAATCTCATTAAATAAGTTGCAATAAGTGAAGTATTATAACTTATCCCTTTTTTATTATAATATAATATTAAACGAACATGTATATTAGATAAGATAATAAATATATTACATTATAATCATAAATTTAAAAGCATTATATTTTTATAGTGTTCTACATACAATTACTGATTACGTTATACGCAAGTTTTGCAATTTTTTATCTTTGTTTTATTTCTTGCAGAAAAAATATTGCTCAGACTTTATGTTATTAAATTCAGCTTTTTAATTTTTTTATTAACAATAATTAGTAAATGAATTCTTTTATATTCTGAATCAAGAATGAATATGTAATAACGAAGAAAATGTGTAAAAATTTATTTTCAAAATTATAATAAAAACATGAGATATACTTGCATTCCAATCCAATTATGAAGATTAAGTGATATTAAAAAGTTCTCGAACTTTAATAGAAATTTAGAAATTTATTTTGAGAAATAAATAATTAATTAAAAAATAAATAAATTCTACTTTATTTATTTTAAGAAAAATCTATAAAGAAATATATAGTAAAATTTCAGATTTAATATATATATATATATATGTTCACAGAATATTTCAATTAATTTTAAGTAAAAAAACATATTTTTTAAAAAATATATTCTTCCAAATCAACAAATTATTTATTTTGTTCATTGCAAAATTTTTTAAATAGCAAGTAGAAAAAAATGGAAATCACATAGATTAATATTTAAAGCAATTCTTAACTGAAAAAATGAAATACCTTCCGAAAAAACTTAAAAAATGAATAAAAAATGGACGAAATGCTTAAGAAATTTGTAATATATATAGTAAATTTAAATTAAATAAAATCTAATTTATTTTTAAACAATTATTATGTTTTATTTCTTTATTTCTATTGCATTACATATGCATAATAATTAACGATTTTATTTTTTCTACAAATTTACACTCAATTAATAGAATAATATTTTAAAGATATGATATTCAAAATCTCAAAATTCTTCAAAACTCAAAAAATTTTATATTTACGATTCTAAAAGCTTTTACTGTTTTTGTGATTCGAAAAACTTGAAATTCAGAATAAGAATGATTTATATAACTTCTCATAATTTATAACGTATATGAGAATATAACCTATTTTTATTTCACTTAATAATAATTCAATTTAATTTATGTTTCTTATTAATTTTATTTTTATAATTTTACTTTAGAATGATTTTTATGGAAAAAAAAACATAAAAATAAATTTTTTTTACAAAAAAAATATTATTATAATTATTAAAAGTTGAATTATGAAAAATTGTCACAATCATTTTATTTTAAAATAAAAAAATTTGCTTTTTTTGTGCATATACTTTTTTATTATGTGTTTTTTTTATGTTGTTTTCTTACTGTGTGTTTAAATAAAATTTGATAAAGATAATGTTATCAACTACGTAATGTTATAAATAAATTTCGTGAAAAATAATTTAAAATTATCAGAATTATATCGAAAATTATATTATTGTTATCGTTAACTTTTCAAATGTTGAAAATATTACATGTTGAAATATTATTTTATGAAATTTTACAAAAATTTTATATTTTTTCTTATTAAAAAACTTTTAAAAATATCTATTATATATGAACTTAAATATATTAATTTTTCTATTAAATTTAAAATAAAATCATATCTTTTCTTAAAGACAGATAAAAGAATTCAATTATTTTTAAAATAAGGTTAAAGCTACTTACAAATAGTTCAAAGTAGTCAATTGTTGCCTCGACAATCTCTTTTCAAATCAATCCGATTCATTTACTTTCCAATACAAGCTTCGATTGCGAGATAAGAGGATAGTCTAGCGAAAAAAAAAACAAAAGAAAAAGAAATAATGCAAAAGTAATCATCAAGCGAAATGAATTGATAGTATATCAAATTAAATTGTACTAAGGGAATAGCCTCAAATAATTTGATTTACTTTTTCTTTACAAGAAGAAAATTAGTTTTGAAATAGCATTGAATTCGTTCACGTATTGAAACAATCGAACCAATCTAATAATATTTTTATCAATATATACTCTGGATAACTGTCTGTTTCAATCTCACAATTAGCACTGTGTTAAAAACATTTTCTAGAACAAATTTATTACTAACCATTTACTAACCTTTTTTGAATTTTTACTTTCTTTTATAATATTCAAATTATTTGTAATTTTCTCTCTCCTTCCATATAAAATAAAACAAATTAGAAAAATTAATATGATTTTATAACGATCAAAAGTAATACCAAAAATATATATACTTTATTTTGTAGTCTAACAGATGAAAAAATTAATTACGTCATTCAAATTCCTAGGTTGGTAATTCTAGGTGATCAAGTTATCTAGTGATCTAGATATAATGCTAGGGATCAAAATTTTTAAAATTATAAATAAAAAAATAATTAAAGTATTATTATGTTATGTATACACATATATAAAAAATTTATATATTAATAAAATTTATTCGATTAATTTTTTGTTTTAATATAAAAAAAAATACTAATACATTTGAATTTTCTGGTAATAAGTGACTTTTTTTTGAACTAACTATTTTCTAGTAATGAGATCGAAGTTGAAAAGTAACGTATTAAATATATATATACATAATAAAATACATACACACACATAGTAGTTTATTGTAAATATGGAATGAGTAACTATGTATTTAAATTATATGTATATTTATATATCTGAAATAAGGATCTCTAATTGTTGTGCAAGAAAATTTTTTATCCTGTAATTTGTAATTTGTGACATAAAATTTTAATAATATTAATTTGTAATTGTGCAATAGTAACCAAATAATTCGGAACCAATCATACGGTTCGGCAAACCGGTCGATCATAAAAAAATAATGTATTCGAAATATAGGAAATTAAGTTTTACGAGTAGATGGTTAAAAGTTAAAGTTAATTCAAGTTCTCTTAACACAGTCCTTGATTAAAATTCGCGGTATTCCTTCAGCTGGTAGTACAAGAAGCCGACATTTGAAGGTAAGGGCAAAGTTTAAGCTACTTCAGTTAAGCTACCTATTATTCCATAGAAGATGAACCTATCTGAAATTTTCTCGGACTTTGTTAAAACTCTCGCAAAAGAATTTAAATAGGTATGATCGGAAAGAATATCAAAGTGTAACTTTCGCGAACGAATCGTGAATAAAAAATATAGGTACGAATTTTTTAAATGATTTATTCAATGTTAAATCTTTGTTTTTCTTAAATATTTTGTTCCTATAATATATTTTTTTTAATAAAATCATTAAACTTTTACTTGAAAATTCATAATTTTATCAAAAAATGATATGACATATTAAAAAACAAAAACTAACCTATTATTATAAGTAGATTCTGGATTTTTATACAATTAAATTTTTATCATTATCTGTAATTCTTTCGTTAGTAATTCAAATGTTATGAAATAAAATATAATAAATATTATAATCTTTAAATAAATTATTATATTTGGAAAATATACATTTATAATTTGCAAATTAATATATTCAATGCATATATCAAAAATCGAAGTGAATATTGTGTAAATATATGTGTATAGTGAATATTGATTTAATAAATACAAAAAATAGTTAATAAAATAATTTAAAAAAGTAATTAAATAAAAAAATGTAACGACATGAATGTGTGTATAACATGTATTGATATCATATTGAACATATATACAAAAACCGAATATATACAAATTCTTTTTT